CCCCGCAGAGCGGCTGCAGGATGCGTGCGGCGGGCGTGCGCCTGCGTCCGTGGCGGCACGCGGGTCCCCGGCCCCGGGTGCTACCGAGGCACGGGCAGGCGAGAGCAATCGGCGATGGAGGCAGAGCCGTGCCCACACACGCACGCGGATGCAGGCAGGGCCGGATCCTGCTGGGGGGATGCTGTTGGAGAGGTTCTGCCCGAAGATGCTGTATTGGGCGGGGGGGGCGATGCTTTTTTTGGGGCGTGGGATTTTTGGGGAGGCGGGGGTGCATAGATGATGCTGGGTTGGGGTGCTCAGCATCCTTGGGGTCTCAGTTCCCATCAATTTGGGGGGTCCCTGGGTACTGTGTCCCCCTCCCTGACCTTGCAGGCAGGGAAACTGAGGCACGAAGCAAACCTGCCCCACCCCTCCCCGACATCATCACCTCAGCACCCACATCCCTGTCTGCCGGGTGATGCACCCTGCCCGGATCCATTTCTAACGCTCCCCTCCTGCTTCGTTAATTAAATCTAATTAGCCGCTCACCCCGTTTCCACAGCAACGGCGTGCAGCAGGGCTGTGTCCTCCCATTGCAGCCAGTAAATTTCCTCTTGGATATGAGGAAGATGAGCATCCCACCCCGGGGAGGGTGCCGAGGGGGCTGGGATGGGTGCACAGAACCCATCCCAGCCCCCTCGGCACCCTCCCTGGGGTGCATGGCAGAGAACGGCCAACTCGGTGCATGTAAGAGGCCTTAAATGCACCCCCTCACCAGGATCAGGGAGGAGGGACCCATAGCACCCAGCGTGGGCATGACGGGTGCCTGCGCTGCACCTGGTACAGCTAATTGCATTAGGGGTAATGAGGCTGGTTGCAAGGCAGCTGCTCCTGCAACTCCTTCTGCAGCACCACGGTCATCCCAGACCCATTTCTGTTGCAATCCCAGACCTGTCTGGGTTGCAATCCTGGATCCATTTGGGTTGCAAACCCAGATCCGTTTGGGTTGCAATCCTAGTCCCATCTGGGTTGCAACCCTGAGCTCTTCTGGGATCCAATCCCAGACCCATTTCTGTTGTAATCCCAGACCCATTTAGGTTGCAATCCCAGTCCCACATGGGCTGCAACCTTGGGCTCATCTGCATTGCAATCCCAGACCCATCTGGGTGCAATCCCTGGCCTGTCAGGGTTGCAATCCCAGGCCTGTGCAGGCTGTAATCCTGGACCCATCGGGGCTGCAATCCTGGAGCCATCTGAGTTGCAATCCCGCGCCATTCTGGGTTCCATTCCCAGACCCATTTGGGCTGCGATCCCAAACCCATCTCAGCTGCAATCCTGGACACACCTGCGTTGCAATCCTGGGCTCTTCTGGACTCCAATCCCTGACCCATTTCTGTTGTAATCCCTGTTTTATTTGGGTTGCAAACCCAGACTCATTTCTGCTGCAGTCCCAGACCCACCTGGTTTCCAACCCCTGTCCCATTTGGGCTGTAACCCCCGATTTTGGGCTGCAGCCCTGGGCCCATCTGTGTTGCAACTGCCAGACCCATTTGGCAGAGTTTCTGTTGCAGTCCTGGGCCTACCAAGGTTGCAACCCCAGACCCATTAGAGCTGCAACCATGGACCCATTTGGGCTGCAACCCCGGACCCATTTGGGCTGCAATCCCAGCCCCATCTGAGTTGCAAATCTAGGTCCACATGCGTTGCAATCTCACGTCCATTTTGGCTGCGATCCTGGGCCCATCTGGGTTGCAATCCCAGCCCCACTCTGTTTGCAGTCCTGGGTCCATC